AAAAAGTGACAGACTGCTGCATGCTCTCCAAAGCACCGGCAAACTGCTGAAGACTTGAGGTGTCTGGGTGGTTGGGCTGGCTGGCTGGGCGGGAGGATTATTCACAGTCATAAAAGAGCATTTGGGAGACAGAAGCTGATAACACGATGGCAAAAAGCAGGGCTTAATGCAAACTTTTAGAGACAAAGAAAAAACTAAACCAAGGCTGTGCTAAGATAAATAGTATTCAACATAACCCACCTCCCCTCGTCTCCTCAAAGAGGTGAGACAAACTCAGCCTTAAGGCAATGCATAGCCCTTGGAAACAGTGGCACATGCATGGAGAGTGCAGAGATGTCTGCATATGTATTATATTCATGTATATGTGTGTGTGTGTGTGTGAGTATAAGAAGAAATAAAAACAAGTCTGTAATTAAGGGTCAGAACAGCAAAAAAATCTGATAAAACTTCATCAGTTTCTTAAACTGTTGCTCTGATAGAGATTTCTGCTACTTTAAGAACAAATTTGTGACTGATAAACAATTTTGACAGGAATGTATTTAAAAATAGTCTGTACAACCCCCTGTACAGCTTCCATCAGGATATACAGATGCAGGCCTTCAAAAATAAAACCCTGTGAAGCTAAAGGAAGCAAAGGAAAACAGAGACACACAGAGAGCGCAAGCGGCAGGAAAAAAAAGACACAGTGAGCTCCCGCGACGGTTAAAAGATGAACGGCGAAGGTGAACGGCGGGCACGGTTCGTACGCCACCTTGAGCTTCGATCATTGCAATCGTATAAACTGCCGCTTCAGATGTTGGTGAGCGTGGTGGACGTGATGAGGCGCACAGTGAGCGTGCCCGGGAGGTCGTTGTCCTGGCGGCTGCCTTTGTCGCGCAGGTGAAGCGTGTGCTGCTCCTGGCGCTCGTTGGGGTCGCTGAACAAGATCACCTGACCCAGGAAGGTGTCCACGATCATGTTCTTGTTGTAGATCTGTTGGCCACTCAAGGGAGGAAGTCAGAAAGGAAAGAAGGAAACAAAAAGACAAAAGGCAGTAAGCACAAAAAAGGAGGAATCAGCAAAGGAAATACACCAGAGAGAAAGTGACAGAAGAAAGAAGACACTAGGAAGGAGAGAAGTAAAACACTGAGGAAACAAGGCAGCACGAAGAAATATGGAACCTTTTTTCCGTTATTCACTCACACAGGTCGTTTGAAACTTATATGTCAGAGTATCTGTTTAAAAAAAGTTTTTGTGGTGGTATAAGGGTACCCACACTATATATAAACCACATGTCACAAACAGCTAACATCAACAGAAATGGCAGTGCTACCAACAGTTCACCAAATCCTCAACAGGTTCTCTAACTCTGCTTTCAAAAAGTTTTACAGCCTCTTCACAACTGAGGAAAACAATGGAGTGACAGCCTTCAACAAACAGGGAAAAGCCTAACAGTCAGATCCATTTCAAACAGTAGTACAAACAGGTCAGCCGGCCACAGCCATCATCTCTCGTCTGTCTGAAACATGTTTGTCCTATCGCAGCCACAGTAGCTAAGATTATGCACTTAATTTAGAAGGGCTAAGAAAACACCTCAGTTGACTGCAATCTGAAATCTTGAAATCCTGAAAACGTGGGACGTGTAACTGGGATTATAATGACTGAATTTCCAAAGTAAAAGCGAGGGGACTGGCCACGGGTGAATAGTGAAAATGATAAAATGAATCATTAAGTACACTTGGGTTTTTAATGGAGCTCTACTGGACAAATTAATAAGCTCAATGAAGGTCTCCTTACTCAGTTGTGAATTGATCTGTCCATCTTTTAGATTGTTTGGTGAAAAACATCATGAAGGATACCTCATGTGATTGTCTAATTCTCTTATTTATTTAAATGAATGATGTCTCTCTCTCTGATGCTAACAGTGTGTAAATACAGATGATTTACCAGCTCTAATGCCCACTCATGGTTTCATTTCACTGTGTTACAAATAAAACAATTTCACAGCTCTAAACAAGCAAATCCAACATCGTATTACTATTAATAACCTCCCTCACAAATACACTGGTTTACACGTGTCGCCTGATATGGAGCCTGTAACTGATTAGTTATGGATGCTCTGCAAACATCCTTAGCAGCCTCATTCTCACGTCCCGTAGGCTCAAAGAGAGAGTTGATAAAGGGAAAAAGGACTGAAAATGAGACAAGCGATGAAACGCTGTGAAACTCTGCATGAAGACAAGTGCCGCGGGACTATCAACCCAAATTATTCCTGCAGCTAGCTCCCACTTTTCTGCAGCCGTCACTGTCGACTGTGTATTTAGGTTCTTGCTTTTACTTTGCGAATACTTAAGATGTTTTGACATATCTACAAATATAAGAAATATATTATTCATGCCCTAGATCGTCTACATCATGTACTGAAGGAGTCAATTTTTTTTCAACTTACAAGACTCAAATTTCCCACGTGTTCGGTTACAAAATGCTAAAACACACACACATACAGCGCTGTCACACAGGATGTCAACGTGAGACCAGAGAGCGATGAATGTGGCGAAACGTAAGGTTTTGCAACGTTTTATTTCAACATATGTAACAGCTGTAACTCCTGAACCACTTGCTCGATAAAAGAATTCCAACAGTTCCCGAAAGCAGCGGGGAACTGTTGCTTTTCAGTGATATCAGGATTATTACAATAATTCCAGGAACAGTGTCGCAGCAGCCTCGCTGAATGTGGCGCCCTACCTGGGATTACCATCACGACCCTCATATCACTGATAAAGCGCAGAGTTGATGCTTTCAGGAACCGTTGGAATTTTTCAATTGCACCAATGGTTCAAGAATGACGGTAGTTAGATCTAAATGTTTTACCTAATGGGTTAATAACAGTTTGATGCCCCTGAGGAAAACTTAAGATTTGTAATTATGAGCATTTATTTCTCAGTAAATGTGATCAATACTTAGTATTGGATTTTTACTGGCTGGATAACCCTGTATTTTGAATTCTACGGCTACTTTTTTGTTTGTGTACAGCGTATATTATGTCTGCATAATAACATGTTTGTTCTGTAGGTTTATTTTTATTTTCTTTATATATAAATTATTTTACATGTAGTGGCAATATGAACATGAGCTTTTTCCCTTTTCTGGAACATTGTTTATTTTAATCTTGGTATTTATTTTCCTTTTATAAAACACCTGCTGGTGTTTAAGTTTTTGCACATTTTCCTTTGATATAGGTGAGTTTATGCTTTAATCTGATGATTTTTAAGACCCTATGTGGGTTATATAACAACTCAAATGGCTAGTATTTAATTTAGAGTGACCATGTGTTTGTCAGAGCCTGAGGAAAAGAGGTTACAAAATGGTCTGATCGCAGAATAAACACACAGTATATAGCAAGACTTCCTAGACTTTGTTTTCTCATCCTGTTACCTTGATTTGAGTTTAGTGAAACTATGCAATGAAATCCAAAGTAAGCAAACAGTAACCTTTTAGTAACCTTATAGCTACTGTTCAGAAGATGTGCACTTTACATTTTGGTGCCATGTATAAATGTGAAAGTTGTCAAAGGCCACTGGCCAAAAGCTGTATTTTCTGAGGGATAAAGAACAAATCAAATTTGAAGTTGCATTTTTTTTCTTCAACCTTTCACACTACGGACTGCAGAGTGACAGCTCACCTCGATGTGGATGCCCTCCTTGGGCTTCTTGCGGTAGAACAGGCCTTTGATGTCAAAGTTTGGGCACCGTGTGTCCTTATGAACTGGTGAACGAACCCTCTCTCCTTCACAGGTGATGATGACGTAGGGATCTACAGCTGTCAGAAAAAAATGAACAAATATCTAAAAGTTTAAAATAGCTCTGCCGGGATAAAACCAGCAAAATGTCAAAAAAAAGTATTAATATAGTACACTGATGAATAAAAAACAGCCACAGAGGACATTTTTCTGTTATTAACAATGTGCATTTTGCTGATAATACCTCTGGACTTCTACATTTGAAAATACTATTTAATTAAAAAACAGCAACAAAAAACTAGTATTTCTGCCTCCACTTATGCTTTATAAGTATGTACAAAGCAGTTAAAGTGGGCGCTCGATGATAGTATTGATACCAATGTTGGTATTGGTATCGGACTGATACTGGCATTATGAATTGATACTTTGTTTCTATCCTCTGTTCAGCATGTAGCCCACTGAACTGAATAATTTTGTGGGAAAATAAAAACATGCATTCTGAAAAACATCTGAACCCTTTTGTACTGACTGTCAAATCTAATTTTATTAAGAGAGGTGGAACTAAAGTGCTTTAGAGACAGACACATGGTGGTCATTAAATGTGTTCAGGATTTGGAAACTCATTGATTTATCTCTTAAGTCATGACACACTGCTATCCCCTACATAAGCTAACTTTATAAATTTAAAGTAAAACCAAAACTGGCCCTTGTATTTACTTGGTATCGGAACAGTTAATGACCCCCTGTCGAGTGGCTCCTTACTGTAGTGGTTTACACATTTGCCTAACAATTAAAAGATTTGAACAGTTTTATCTCAGGAAGGGTAAAAATAAAGTAAAATCTGTCAAATCAAACATGAGGAGCTGCTCGCTCTGGTGGCTCTTTGTGGAGTAAATGTAAATAAAGCTCGACTTTTTGGGGGATGGTGTACACTGACTGCTCAGCGCTGATTTACTTATTTAACAGAAGCATACTATAAGACGCTACAATCACATGAACCTTTGTGTTAAAGTTACAGCAGTTAGTTCACACGCACGCACGCACAAACACACACATGCACACACACACAGTAAGAGATTTAAGCCATAACTGCGGCACACTACAGGCTGTAGACACTACACTAGCTAAATAATCTCAGCGGGTGGTGCTGAGGTACCTCGTGCTTTGCTCTGGGCTCTCGCTCTCTTTTTGGGATTGAGGCAGTGCAGCTCTGTGGGTTTTCACAGCACTTCATCATTGACATGCAAATACAAAACACAGCACTCAATGTCAGGCAAGGTTACGTCTGCTACGCACCGACTGGAGTCCTCATACCGACCTCCATTGGAGTCCTGTCCCTGCAGACCCTCAGCGTTCAGTACATGGACCTGAGTGACCAGCTGAGGGTAGCCACACATCCCCGTCCAACATGTCTGAGGAGGCTCGTCCAGGGTCAGCTCTCTGAGTAAGATGAAGACAGCACAGGTACATGGATGTATGAACACAGATATGCCTCATGTTGGAGTGTGACAGGCCTCTGTAACGCTGCCAGTGCTTCAGCAGCAGGTTCTGGTCAGCAGTCCCAAAAGCAACAGGAAATAATAGGTTAAAATTTACTACTATCTGTTACTGTGCTGATGTATCAACGCAGCGTGAAGCAGTGTCCTTGGCAGAATTTCTGTGGTTGTGTTATTACCAGTGTTGGGACTAACGCGTTACAGTAACTACGTTATTATTGTGGTAACGAGCACGGTAACTAGTTATTATGCCAAAATCAGGAA